CGATCCTGTTAAGTGTTTGTGGGGTTTCCCCTGGAGTGAGATGAGATGGGAAGCCAGTAGAGACTTGTGAGCAGGGGACGCACGAGCTGACTAACAGGGTCACTGCGACTGGGTTGAGAAGAGACTGTATGGCTAAGAGTAAATCAGAAGGCCAGGCAGGAGGCTGCTGCCATGACCCAGGGGACGGGCTGCTCCCAGTGGTGCTCAATGTATTTTGAAAGTAGAGCTGACATCATCCGTTCATTTTCTGTTGCTCCTGTAATAAACCATCGCAGAGTGAGTGGTTATTTTTTCTCTTACAGTTGTGTAGGGTAGAAGTCCGTCCAGATTCCCACTGGGTTAAGATCGAAGATTGGCAGGCCTGTGTTCCTTTCCGGAGACTCGAGGAGAGAATCCATTTCCTTGTCTTTTCAGCTTTTAGAGGCCGCCCACATCATTCCTTGGCTCATGGCCCTTCCTCCACCTTCAAAGCCGACAGCACTGCATCCGTGTGACTGTAACTGGGAATGGTTGTCTGATTTCAGGGCTCTTAAGATTAGATTCGACTCACCAGGATAGTCTCCCTAGCCGGAGGGCTTTAACTTGGTGACGTCCTCTGGCCCTTTTGGCCTTCAAAGTACACATTCCCAGGTTCCGGGGATGAGGACATGCAAGTCTCTGTGGGCTGTTATTCTGCCTACTACCATTGAAGAATCAGATGTGGGATTTGAGGGCAAGAAAAAATCAAGAATAATTTCAAATTTTTTGGTCTGAGCAATTGAAAGAAAGGAAGTCATTGACGTGGGAGGACCAGGTTTGTGGCTTCAGGGTAAATATCAGGGGGTCAGTTTAGGACTAAGTCTGAAATACCTGTTGTATAGCCAAGTTGGACGTGATGAGTTAGTAGTAGAACACAGGAGACCAAGTTCAGGAGCAAGGTGGACAGCACAGGCAGGTGGGAGCCCTCCTCACGTGGATGGCGTCAAAGCCGTGACACCGCAGGAGACCACACAGGCCCCATTCCATCTCCACAGAGTCCTCACGTTGTACATTTGAGAACTTGTTAGGTGTGAAGAATGTATTTTTAGTAAACTGAACATGGAGAAAAATGCAGAAGAGGAACATTGAACAGCGAAACCTAATCCAGAGTTTCTCAGGACAAATGTCACGATCTTGGTTTACTTAATTCCTTGCAAACTTTGCCTTTTCTGTGAACTGTGTTTCTAGAATTAACTGCGCCAGAACCGAGGATTGCAATGACTGAGACATCGCTCCTCTTACATCAACTTCTGATTCTTTCCTGTTGAGGTAGTTTCATCTTACATTGGATCTATATTGTTTTTCATAAATGCTTGTTTAAAAGTTGTAATAGACTCACTTCAAAGGGCAGTCCTTGACGAATGATGCAGTCTACAATTTATATGTAAGAAAGCTTTGAAAAGGAGCAAATACCAGTCTTCCAGATCCTTGTAGAGGACTGTAGCTGATAACTGCTAACAGAACAATATTTATTAATTGGATTTGAGGAGCATGTCACCTACCGTATCCGTTTTCCCTCACTGGTACTACTAAATTTGCCAAAGGCCAAACCTTGGATCTCTTGTGTGTATTTAATTACCTCTAAGAAAATACTGACAGGGGTCAAGCCAGTAGCCAAATAAGTGCGGAAAGGCGTTGTCTATCGTGAAAACTCCGCCGCTGCCCCGTCCAAATCTGGGCCTCCAGCTACCAAGCAACAGAAAGTCCCGCTGAGAGGTGAGCATAGATCGTCACAAACTTCATAGCGCTTGCTGGGTTCAGTAGAGAGCCCTTTGCGGGCTCCACCTTTACAAGTATTTCTGTCCAACAAGCCTTACTGGTTTCTAACATGCTGGGTAGGAAAGCTGGTCAGAAAAGCAGAGAAGGGCCCCACCAGGTAAGCACGCTGACCACAGGGTGCATGGGTATCGAATCCCTGCAGAAACGCGGGGCTTCAGACCAGTCTGGCCTTTGATCCCTGGACACTTCGGGGAAGTCTGAGGACATCGTTCTGTTTGGGAAACTGACATAATGGTGACCCTGAGTCGCGAAGAGAAAGTTAGATTGTTTTAGTAGGCAGAGGTCTGGTTATCTGTTGCTGCCAACACCAACACCCAGGAACGTAGTAGCTTCCAGAAGCCATGACCATGCGTTCCCTTTCACGGTTCTCTGGGTTGACGGGGCAGCTGTGGGTGCTGCTTTCGCTGGGGGTTGTATTGGCTGGGCCTGTGGTCATCTGGAGACTTGACCTGGCTACAACCATCTTCCGTGGCTTACTCACGTGGCATGTGTGTGCTTTCTGCCAGTGGAAGTCTGGCTTAGGTCTCTTCCCAGTGGCCTTTCCATGTGGCTTGGGCATTTCCCAGAATGACAGCTGGCTTCAAGAGGGAGTGTTTCAGGCATGTGGATGCCTTGGAAGTGGTTCGTCGTCACTTCACTGCATTCTTTTGATGGTAGTGATTCACAGGGCCAGCTCAGCGAAGGGGAGAGGAAGTAGACTCCACCTCTCAGGGAAGCAGTGGCAGAGCACTGGCGGCCATCTTTAACCCAGCGGAACAGAGAAGTAGGTGATGGAGCTGTACTTTGTAGGTGTGGTGAGGGGGCCGGGTGACCCTTCCATCTCTGGAAAGATGACTGCTCAGAAAACTCAAGTCTTTTTTGATGGTTCAAAGTGGTCGATACTTAATAAATAAGATTATTTATTTTTTAATTATTAAATAAATAATTATTATTTATTTAATTACAAGATTATTGACCTTCAGGGAGTATCATAAAACTAAGAGAAACATTTCAAGGATGTTTATTTGGTAAAAATAGTAACTGTGTGGGGCACCTGGGTGGCTCAGTGGGTTAAGTAAATCCTCTGCCTTCTGCTCGGGTCATGAACCCAGGGTCCTGGGATTGAGCCCTGCATCGGGCTCTCTGCTCAGCAGGGAGCCTGCTTCTTCCTCTCTCTCTCTCTCCCTGCCTCTCTGCCTACTTGTGATCTCTGCCTATCAAATAAATAAATAAAATCTTTTAAAAAAAATAGTAACTGTTTTTTTAGGTAAAACGGTTCAGAAATAGTACCTAGGGCAATCATTGATCATAATAACAGCAATTTAATTTACATGTAGAATGAGAACCTCTAGAAGGGATTCTAATCAGAATAAAGGAAAAATTGAATGTAAAACCAAATGTTAACTTCTCTTAAGCAGTGGAATTTTCTGATTCTTAGATACTGTCTTAAAGTCACCTTGTTCTGTGATCCCAAGCCAGAGTGTTCCTTGGAGCTGCTCTGTAGAGCTGGTCTCACCCGTAGGAACTGCAAAGAGCTGTGACGTTAGTCCATACTACATTTGTGTTATTACACCACTCTAATTTTGAAACAACTTTCAGAATGGATTTTGAAGAACTCTCCCTTTGAGGTGTTAAACATCCTTTCTCCCACCCCTCTGGTTATTACTTTCTCCCTCTCTTGGCCTATTTGTGTGTGAGTTTGTAAAGTCTTGGTCCTGACCTAAGAGTATCCTTAATGTGTGTTATTAACTGAAGTCCTGAGGAGGCACCCAGCAAGTGTTTCTTAGGTGTTTCAGTGTTTCCCTGGAGCCTGGCTTGAATAGTGAAGAAGCCTTTTTTATTACCTGGGTGAGGAGCTAGCCTGGGAGCCCACTAACCATCTAAAGCAATAGTTGTGGTAAACGAGGTCCTGTAAAAAGAGTAATTTGACAATATCATGAGTTACAAATTATGGTTTGCTCTTTTTTCCTTGAGTTTCTCTGTATTTTTAGTTTTGACCTGGCTAACGTGAAAAGGGGTTTATTTCCGGCAATATTGATTGGACTTAAAAAAATCACTCAGGATTGTAAGATCACTTACCTGACACATAGGGAATAAGTTACTGACCTCGTTTAAATTTGCCCTTGCTTGGGTAATTTCTTTTCTTCATTTAAAATATTTTCAGGGCGCCTGGGTGGCTCAGTCAATTAAGCATCTGCCTTCAACTCAGGTCATGATCTTGGGGTCCTGGAATCGAGTCCCATGTTGGGCTCCCTGCTCAGCGGGGAATCTGTTTCTCCCTCTCCTTCTGCCCCCTCCCCCCAACTCTTTCTCTTTCTCTCTCAAGTAAATAGATAAATGAAATCTTAAAAAAAAAAAAAATGTTCTCTTCTACTGCCGCTTGAATCAGGTATTTTGGGATCAAGGTCCTAGAATCTCAAGAAATATGCTTGAGGCTTCGCTTGATTAAACAAAGACCTTATAACTCAAAGATAGCTATAGCCTCAGAGGGAAAAATAAATAAATAAATCCACTTCCCTCACCTGTCACTGTGGACTGGCATAAGCAAATCTAACTGAAGTTTTTAAAAATACTCTCCTTTAAGCTAGAGGATTTCTTAATTAAAACAAAATAGACTGTCTTGTAACCAGTGTTAGGGCAGGATGCACTGGGTCCTCACAGTGTCGCCCAGTAACAGGATCCAGCGTCTCTCTCTTAGTGGGGCTAGAGACCATGTGCTAGAGCCTCGCAGCCACCACGTCCCCGGCTCACTGTTGGGGCCGTGCTCGAGGTCAGGCCTAGAGCGCCAGGTCCAGTGTGCAGCCGTCCCCAAGCCGGCCAGGAGAAGACGGCCGCTGACCGCACTTGAAGAGCTAGGCTGGCTCCTCAAAGACGAAGCAGAAAGCACAGGCAGTAACCAGTTTGCAGAAGAAAAAAAAACCAGTTTCTTTCGTTTCGAATGCCTGTGCTTTTGCTTTTGGACATTTGTTTGGGTACCTGATTTTCCTTCCCTTCTTTATTTGTGTGCTTGTAGGGCGGTGCACGGACTGTCACTGAACGTGCAGAAGAGCGTGTCCGGGCACCGTAGGTCACACAGCAGAGAGGCCCGGGTGCGGAAGGGGCGAGCCCAGCTGGCTGAGACTCTGCCCTGAAGTCTCGGCGATCGGGTCGTCCCCGCGAGCGACCGCAGACTCTCGGCCCGGTGCGCGGCGCGCTGCTGTCGGAGCTCGGCGCCCGGCGATGCCGGCCGCTTAAGCTCGCCCTCGACAAGATGGAAGAGGCAGAACTGGAATGCCCCGACTCCGCCTCAGAGAAACGCTATTGCCCCGAGTCCCTGGATTCCAGTGATGGGGATGAGGAGGGGATTTTGGCTTGTGAGGATTTGGAACTCAACCCTTTCGATGGATTGCCATATTCCTCACGTTATTACAAACTTCTAAAAGAGAGGGAAGATCTTCCAATATGGAAAGAAAAATACTCCTTTATGGAGAATCTGCTTCAGAATCAAATTGTGATCGTTTCAGGAGATGCGAAGTGTGGCAAGAGCTCTCAGGTGAGTAGCCGTTGGGAAACACCATTTGCTTGAGGCGTTGTACTTTTTCCTTACTTAAGTGCAATGTCGGAGCATAACATTCCGTTTTAATAATGTTATCTAAACCAAACAAACAAACAAACAAAGCTCTAACAATTCAAGCACAACAGTTAAATTACCTGGTTTAATTTATTAAAGCCAGCTGATGACAGTTAATTACCCCCGTGTGGGTATCGTGTTTAGTGTACCAGTACATTTTCTCTAGACGAGTAGATAAAAACCCATTCAAATTATTTCATGGCTCATATTCCATTTGAAAAGATGTGATAGGTGTTATTTGCCTGCCACAGACTTGGGGACTAGTTGTCATGTTTATGTGCCCAGCAGTCTGACAATGGAGGTGTGTGGTCATGAGTGCTTCTCGGCGAAGATGGGTAAATTACAGAAATTCAACAGCACAGAAAATTGTTATTTTCCAGACTATAAGAAATAAGTGAGTGGGCAAATATCATCCTGGCCCAAGATCCTACATTTTGGGGTCCAGTATGGAGGATAGAATGAGGGTAGATGGCTAATGAAAACGTATGGTCCAGGCTGTTCTGACACCTGAACTTCTAGATTTGATTTTAGTAGTATCTATATTTTGCCTTTAAATTCCAATGCAAGCAGTATTTTGATTACAAAATTCATGTATGGATTCTTGGAATGTAAGAATTAAAATAGACCATAAAGATACTCTGACAGAATGCCTTCATTTCTCAGATGATGAAACTGGCCCAGAGGGATTTGATAATTTGTCTAATGTCACACAACTTCCTAAGCTGCGAGTACAAGAATACTTTCTACTGTGCATTGCTACTTTTCAGGTTGTTTGTTACCTCTGAGGCTTACTTGTTCTAACTTGAAGAGAGGAGAGATGGACAATAGGTGGTTTTTCTTTAACTTAGAGCTGCCCATGTGGAGTGTTTGCTATGAATTGTATTGTTGCAGTGAGTTACTGTTACAACTAATGCTTTTGGTTTCTCAGCAAGAAGCTACTGTTGAAAACTGAATGGGTATAATATTCCTTCTTTCTGTGGACAAACAGCAAGTTAAAACATTATTTGAAATTGTTACTTTGCAATAATTCAGACTTAGGAAAAGTTGCAAAAGTAGGACAAAGATTTTCCATATGTTTTTCAATCAACTTTCTTAAACGTTAATATTTGACATGTGCTTTATCGTTCTCTCTTTCCATGCACACAAAGACATACAGACGTGCACAGTGTTTATCGTGAACCCTTTAAAAGTTAATGATACGATGCCCTTTGCCTCCAAATACTTCAAATATTTACTAAAAACAGGGCATAGCCACACTGTAATGATCAAAGTCAGGAATGTAGAATTGACATTTCCTGATTACCTAATGTACAGACATTCAATTTCATTACTTTTCCTACTAATGTCCTTTATAATACAAGTATTTTTCTGGTCTAGAACCCAATCCAAATGACATTGTATGTAATTGCCACTTCTCTTTCCTCACCTCTCATCTGAAACAGCTGCTGTTTTTTTCTCGTCCTTCATGACCTTGACACTTGAAGAGTACCGCTAGGTGTTTTGTATGACATCCCTTGGTTTGAGCCTGTCTGACATTTCCTTTGGCTTAGATTCCAATTAAAGCATTTGTGGCAGGAAGACCACGCAGGTGCTGTGGTGTCCTCCTTCATGCCTCCTATCAGGAAGCCTAATAAGATTTCTGCCCTGATGTTAATTATATTTGATAACTTGGTAAGGTTCTCATACCTGCTGCCTACTTGAAGAAATAAGACACTATTTTTCTAAGAGGCTGTCTGTGTGTCCCTTCCCCATACTCTACACTCTTTCCTCCACAGAGTAACTTATATTAATCATTTCTTGCTTTTCTTTATAGCTTTACCATGTGTTTTGGTTAAAAACGCTGTTATTTTAGTTAGCCAGTTTTTCACTATTAAATGAACATATTGTGTTCTTCTGAGACCAGCTTGTCTTGTGCAGGTGTTACTGACAGTCAGACATAATAGTGATGCTCTAACTTGGGGCTCACCTGGGGGCCTTCCAAAACCCACTTGCTGACCCCCCAACCCTGCCTCAGTTTTTAATCCAATAGGTGGGGAGAGGAGGGCTCGCCGGGGTAACAGACCCACCACGGGTGATGCTAATGGTGGTGGTCTGGAAACCATGGATGAGCCTGATGCTTTACAGCTGGGCTTCCTTTGTTTTTCCTTTTTATGGTGTCCCGTTGTGTGAATATAGTTTGTATATCCGTTCGCTTGGTGATGGGCCCTTGGGTTGCTTCCAGGGTTTGGCTATTCCAACAGTGCTGTGATGAGCATTTTGTGGTGTTGTTTCTTTTTTTTAAGTGGGCTCCATGTGCAGCCTTGAGCCCAAAGCCAGGCTCAAGCTCACAACCCTGAGATCAAGACCCGAGCTGAAATTAAGACTCGGGTGCTTAACCGACCCAGCTGCCCGGGTGCCCCATGATGAGCACTTTTGTATAAGTCTCCTGTTAAATCTTTTCAAGAGTTTTTAAACAATGGAGTTAAAAAAAAAAATCAGTGTTTCACTTTTAAAAACCTATAAAAAGATACGGGGAGGTACTTCAAGACTGTAAGGTGCGCTTCTCAACATGCGTTTGCCTACTAGTTTTAGCATCCTTAGATCATTCTTTGACATGATTACGCTGGGGGTAACCAAACTGGTGATTTTCCTAATTCTGACATTCCTTTTACATTTAATATTTGGAATTCTTCTGAAAAACCAAACTTCCTTTTTGTTATTTACCTGTTCATTTATTTCAATGTGGGCTCATGCATTCTTTCTTTATTCTATGGATTATAATCCATTACTAAGCCCATTTGTTTTGTTGCTCAAATTGTCCCTGATGTGGCCTGTGGGCACCGTTCAGGATGATTCCGTGTCCTTCCGACGTGTCCCGTGGTTCCTGAGCTCATCTTTGCTCTTTCCCCATAAGACCTTAGAGGCTCTACCCGTGTCTCAAGAAATAGCCATTTTTTCTCAAGGAGCCCTGGTTCCATTTAGTGGAGAATTGTACTTAGAAACCAAGATGGGGACACTAAGTGGCATTGCCATTGGCTTGTCATTGCTTCCAGGCCTTGTCCTTTAACATAGCAAGGAAGTAAATATTGGGGGGAGGGGTTACAGCTACCCCCACCAGCCACCTCTAACTCTGCTTCTCTGTCTCTGGCTCTTTCTGTTTCTCTTTCTTATGTATTTCTCTCTCTCTCTCTCTCTCTGTACGTGTGTGTGTGTGTGTGTATATATATATATATATATATATATATGTATATTTGTCTGTTTGTTTTTATTTCTCTGTGTCTTAAAAACCACGAATTCATGCTGATGCCTCCGGTTCCAGTTCCACACCACAGGGTTCATTCTTTGTGCCTGTTTCCCATGTCTAACTCCCTTCTCTAACTGTGGGAAACCTGTCATTCATTATTTGCAGTGGCTTGGCTTGTTCAGTCTTAGAATACATGCTCATCATGTAGTTTCAGAATTGCTAACCCACGCTTTTGGTTAAAAAAAAAAATTACGTGCTCCCTGAGTTTTCTTTTAGAACTTGTGATCTTTTAGGGCAAGAATTATCATACATTTATAATATGTTATAACTGGCAATGCTTTCTCCTGTCATCTTTGACTTTTCAACCATTTTCACAAATAATGCTTGTTTTCTATTAGTTGGGAAGTCAGTGTGTATCTACAAGGTGGCAGAAATCAAAATAGTCCTCAAATGATGGGAAAATGGGCCAGTTCTAAACTAATTTAAATATTGGGAGCGTTGGTTGTTTTCTCAATTCTGGAAACAACCTGGTTATTTTTTACAGAGCTTCCAGGACTGTCTTGTTCCTCAGAGTTCAAGCCTTTCAAACAAAAGTTCGTCTTTAGACCCAAGCCTTCTAAAGAGGACCACAGACATTTCATAGGATCCTAAAAATTTCATCTCTCTTTGGTCTAGCTGGCATTTTGTGCCTGCCCTGGGGAAAACAGGACAACCTTTCATATATTTATAGAGGCTTTTCCTATTGCCTTTTTTGGGGGTAGCTTTATTTTAAAAAAGCCTGAAAGAGAATGAAATATTTTTAGAGCTGTCTGTTTTATTTAATTCTCCTTCTCTAGCTTTTGTCCAGAAATTTCCCAGGAGACGGATGGGTTAGGGAGGTGGCTAAGCGCGCTGCACTTGAGATCACACCTAAAGTAAGAAGCTGTATGGTTTAGAACATCTGCCCCCTGTTAACTGAGTAAACGTGCCGACCGTGTTCCCTGCTGCGGGATTCTACCTGTGTTCACTCCGTGTCAAGATACATACAAATTAAGATAGCCAGGGCCGTGGTACATGAAATTCAGAAGGGGACCCACTCCTCAGTAATGTAGCCTGACCTAGGACTTCACCTGGGGTGGCCTCAGGAGCGAGCTCAGGCACAGGCACTTTGTAGGGTGTTTTTGTGGGGAGTCAGACCTTTGGGTGAATCCGGTCTTAAAGGTTCCTTTCAACCTTTGGATTCCGTGGTTCTGGCACTGGAATAAGAGTGAGAGACCAGAGCCTCGGCACTGGCTGCAGCCCCCGTGGTTCTAGAAAGCAGAAGAGGAACCAGGCTGGCACGGACAGAGGAGTGATGGAAAACGAGGGCTTGGGGGACTTTGGGACTCGGACCTGTTAACAGGCATAGCCTCGTATCTCACAGATGACTTTTTGTCTTGCTTCACTTGTGTACCGGTCCACTCAGTGAGCTGAGACCGTCGGTGGCGGTGGGTGCAAGGACAGGGAGTTCTACACGGATATAATTCATGTGGCTGTCCTCTGGCCCCAGGGGCAGCCGAGGGCCCGCACACAGACCCGGCCACCATGGCTGCTCTCCCGGATCGGGCCCCGCACCCCGCCCCCACCCCGAGAGCCCCGGGCCCAGCCTCTGGCCTCTGGGCCTGTTGCCCAGAGAATGGAGCATCTTTGCTTCACTTTGAATTTGTACAACTTGTAGAAC